GCCGCCTGTGCCGCGGACGCCGCGTCCCCGCCGCTGTCAGCACCCCGCGCCGGCCGTTCCTCTCAGTGGACGCGGGACCGCGCCGGCGTGCAGGGTGCGGGGCCCTGCGCCCTCGAGACCCTGCCCGACTGGCCCAGGGCCCCGCTGTACCGGGACTCCTGTGCACCTCGAGACCCCTGCGCGGTCTGGGACCCCCGTGCACCTCGGGGACCTCCCTCTCCCGTGTACCTCGGGAGCCCCGCGCGACCTGGGATCCCCGTGCACCTTGGGACCCTCTTGTGCATCTCGGGACCCCTGCGTGCCCGAATGCCCAGCACCTTAAGGCTCCCCGCGTGCCCCACGACCCCCTCCGGCCAGCCCGGGCGCCCCTCGAGCTCCAGCGCCTCAGCGTCCCCCGACTTGTCCGAGTCGGCAGGAGCGCTGTGAGGGGCCGCACGCTGCCACTTGTTGAGTCAGCTTTGCCTGTCTCCTTTGCGACCTGTCGCATGTCGCCGCACTGGGCCAGTGGGCCGCAGCTCTTTCTGGGGCTCACGTGTTTTGTCATTTTGTAGCCTAGAGAAGGAGGAAGTTTGACGAGATTCTACGGCACAATAGGGGAGGCCCGAGGGTGGACCCAGACCACGTGGGATTCCCCCCACGACCTGTGGAAGGCGACGTGGAAGAGGATTCCGAAGCTACTTTCCTGCATAGACTGGAGGGATGTAAGTCGCTTTAAGAGTGTCCCTGCGAGTGGAGGAAGGAGCGTTAGATGTGTACAAGTTTACTGTTCCTGTTGGCTAATTCCTTACTGTAGATTGGGATTCTAATCTAAGTACAGTTGAAGATCAGAGGTTTTAACACTCCACGTGCATTAAATTGACTTTCTTGACTGCATTTCATCATGGAGTGAATCTACTTTAAATCTATGCTACTTTTTTGGTTTGTTTTCTGTTGCTTTTTGCAGTGCTGGGAGATGAATCCAGGACCTTTCTGGAGCTGGTCAGTGCACCTCTGCTGAGCTGCACCCCAGCTCTTTTATTTTTTAAGCTTAAAACAGTACTTCTTGGGCTTGTGATAATCTCTTAGCTCCGAGAATTTACAAAGATGAATTAATTGGACATGCTGCAGTTTCACATTGTGTAAGAAATTTTAAGTGGTGCAGACTGATTCCACCTCAGACACAGCTGTCATTGTCACTTGTATCCCTGATGAAAGTGGGTCCACGAAAGGAAGTGTGGCCTCTTCCTCTGAAGGTAGAAGGTTGGGAAACTTGATTTTGAAACTCCAAATACTGTTCCAAAGTGGAGACTGAAGTTGTTTGGACGCAGTGACTTTTCTTTGAATTGAGCTAGTCGGTACAGGAGTTCTTTCAGACAGTTCTTACCTAGATCATTTGCCATTGTTCCCTCCTGAGTGTTGGGCCTTGGAAATTGTGACACGTTTCTAGGGCTTGATAGATGATTCTCCTGCTGTCTGTGGACTTAGAGCTTGGTTCTGGAATTCATCCTTTTAGTGAGCTCTGTGATGCCACTTTGAGGGTTTCGCTGCCTGGCTTGGCAAGTGACATGGTAACAGTTGCCCATGTGGGTGGATCGTTAGGTTTTTTTTTTTCCTTAGATTGTATTGGGACCACAGAAAGCACAGAGAAAATGCGAGAGCACTCATTTTTCAAGTGGATGCACTGGGACCTTTCTGCTTAGAGATGTTTGCTCATGTGCGCTTTTGCGCCCAGGGAACAAAAGAGTAAGGAGGCTTGAGAATATGTTTTACAGGTCGAGAGGAAAACCAAGAAAATCCTTATTTTTCACTGGTGCATTGCAAACATTGAAAAAATGTTTATAAAAAGCAAATTTAGAATTATGTTTTACGTAAACCCTTTCAACATTTTCTATGATGATGTTTCTTTCTTTTTTTTTTGGTACCAGGAATTGAACTCAGGACCTTCTGCTTGCCAGGCAGGCGCTTGCGCCGCTGAGCTATATCCCCGGCCCTGTGATGATATTTCTTAAAAGGGAAAGTGGCTTTCCCAGCCTTTTAAGCATTTGATATAAGTAAAAAAGGTGAACGATTTATACAATCTGAAGAGAAACCAGAGTATGCATTTGATATAAGTAATCATAATTTAAACATGTCCCAGAGACTTGGGTACCTTCACATGTGTTACTGCATTTAATTCCTTGAGGCCTCATAAAGTGTGGGCAGTTCCTCCTTATTTTGAGTTTTCAGGAAGCTCAGGGCCAGCGGGAGAGAGATGAGCTCTGTGTGCAGGATAGCCAGAGTCTGGGCCTGTAGCTTCCATCCAGTGCTCAAGGCGAGGTTGGACAGGGCCAGGCGTTTTCTAGCGTGTGTCTGTGCTCACTGGTAGACAGGTGATGGCAGTCATTTCTATTTTAAGATTTGAGTTTCTTCTCCTTTGGATTGCAAAGGTAACACTTCAAGCATGGTTTCTATATACTTAAAGAAACAGACTTTATTTTTTAGAGCAGTTTTAGGTCCTCAGCACAGTGGAGCAGAAGACAGAGAGTCCCATCTACTCCTTAAACCTGCACAGGCCCTGCTGCTTTCCCAACTGGGTGGCCTGTATAAAGCAGTTGAGACTTTCGTTAACACATCAGTATCACTGAAGTCCATATGTGACATTAAAGTTCACTCTTGATGTTTTATGATTTTTGACATGTTTTATGATTTTTGACAAGCGTGTAATGATGTTTACCTACCACTAGTTATTTCTCCCATTACATATATTACCAGATAGTTCACTGTCCTAAAAATGCCCTGTGCTGTATCTCTCCTTCACTCAGCCCTGGCAACTGCTGGCCTTACCGTCTCTGTGGTTCGCCTTTTCCAGAATGTCATAGTTACAGTCATGTATGTAGTGTTTTCAGGTTAGCTTCTTGCACTGAGTAATAGGCATTTAATTTTTTTCCATGTCTCTTCATGGTGTCAGCTCTTCTCTTTGTAGCGCTGCATAACACAGCTCATCCATTCCTGTGTTGAGGGCATCTTGGCAGCTGCCAGGTTTGGGCGGTTATGAGTGAAGCTGCTGTGTATATCTGTACATAGATTTTGGTGTGGACAGAAGTTGTTAGTTCCTTTGGTTAAATGCCAGGGAGCATGGGTTGTGTGGTGAGAGTAAGTTTCCTTTTGTCAGAAACTGCCACATTGTCTTGGCTGCACCATTTCTCCTTTGCGCCAGCAGTGAATTCGAGTTTCTGTTGTTCTTTGTCTTTCTCGGCCTGTGGTGTCAGGGTTCTGGGTGGTGGCCGTTCTAGTAGTATGCAGTGGAGCCTCAGTGTGCTTTAATTGTATTTCCCTGGTGACATCTGATGTGGTGCGGGGTATCTTGCCATACTAGACTTTTTTGCCGTCTGCAGATCTTTGGGCCTTTTTTTTTTGAATTGGAGATTGAACTTGGAGCCTTTGTAGTGAGCTATTTTCACCAGCCCTTTTTTATTTTTATTTATTTTGAAGTAGCGTCTTGCTAAGTTGCCCAGCCTGGGTTCAAAGTGGCAATCCTCCTGCCTCAACCTCCCAGAGTGTTCCATTTTTTATTTTTTATTTTATTTTATTTTTGGTTTTTCTCCGGTACCGGGAACCGAACTCACGACCTTGTGCTTGCCAGGCAGGTGCTTTTGCCGCTGAGCTAAATCCCCAGCCCCTTGTGTTCCATTTTTTAATGTTCTTTTTTTTCCTTACTGAGTTCTAAAAGTTTTGTGTATTTTGGGTAACAGTCCTTTATCAGATAAATATTTTGTAAATGTTTTCTCTTAGTCTATGGCTTGTCTTTTTAGTCTTTCATTCTTTCTTTCACAGAGTAGAATTTTTTATTTTTATTTTTTTGTGGTGCCAGGGCTTGAGCTCAGGATGCTCTAGGCTCCATCCTCAATTGTTTTTATGTTTTTCATGTTTTTTTGAGACATGATCTCACTAAGTTGCTCAGGTTGTCCTTGAACTTGTGATGCTCCTGTCTCAGCCTCCCAGGTAGCTTAGATTATAGATGTGTGCCACTGTGCCAGTCTGTAAAAATTTTTAATTGTAATGTAGCCAAATTACCAGTTTTTTAAAATGGATTGTGCTATTGCTGTTGTAGCTACAAAGTCATTGCCAAAGCCAAGATTACCTAGAGTTTTCTCCTCTTTTACCTTTTAGCATTTTTATAGTTTTTCAGGGTACATTTATGTCTGTGATCCATTTCAAATTGATTTTTGTGAAGGGTATACGGCCTGTGTGTAGATTAATTTTTCCATATGTGAATATCCAGTTCTAGCTCTGTTTATTAAAGACTTTTCCTTGTGTTACGTTTGCTCTTGTATCAAAGATGAGTTACCTTTGTGCATCCATTTCTGGACTCTTCCTGTGATGTGGATCTACCTTCCTTTTGCTAATGCTGCACTGTCCTTTTTTTTTTTTTTTTTTTGGACCAGGATGATTTACTTTTATATTAATATTTAAAATTTTCTTTTTTGATTCAGTGGTAAATTTTTTTTGGGACCAGGAATCAAATTCAGGACCTTGTATTTGCCAGGGAGGTGCTTGTGCTGCTGAGCTATATCCCTGGCCCTTTTTTGTCTTTTTGAGACAGGGTCTCACTATGCAGTTCAGGGTGGCCCGAAGCTCAGTTTGTAGCCCAGGCTGGTCTTGACCTTGCAGTGATCCTCCATTTCTCCTCCCTCAGCCTCCAGAGTGTTGGGATTATAGGTGAACGCCACCAGGCCTGGCTTTTTGCACTGTCTTGATTGCAGTGGCTTCACAGTGAGTCTCAAAGTTGGGTAGTGCTAGGTTTCCAACTTGATTCTCCTTTGATATTGTGCTGTCTATTCTGTCTTTTGTTTTTGTATATAAACTTTATAAACAGTTTTTCAATATCCATAAAATAACTTGCCAGGAGTTTGATTGGTGGTGTCAACTGAAGTTAAAGTCCTTTCAGAATTCACAGGTTGAAACCTAATCTACAGTGTGACAGTGTTTGGAGGTGGGGGGCTAGGAGGTGATTAGATCACGAGGGGAGAGTCTTGTGGAATGGGATTGGTGCTTTAGAGAAGAGATGCCAGAGAGCTCCCTTGCCTCTGCACCTTGTGAGGACACAAAAGGTGGCTGCCAGTGAACAGGAAGGCCCTCAGCAGACACCACGTCTGCCAGAGTTGCGAGCTAGGACTTCCTGTTGCTGGGTGTGGTGGTGCATACTTGCATTCTTATCACTTGGGGACCCTTAGGTGGGAGGATTGAAAGTTTGAGCCCAGACTAATTCAATGACTTAGTAGGACCCTGTCTCAAAAAATAAAATAAGCAAAGCATAACAATACACAAACAAGGGCTTGAGATATAGCTCAGTGCAGAGGCCATGAGTTAGTTCCCATTATTACTAAAAAAAAAATAGTTGTCTGTCAGCCGTCCAGTGTATGGTGTTGTTAAAATAGCTTGAACAGATGAAATTTGTCATTTCACTGAATGGTATAGATCCAGTCTGTATAACATTGAGTCTTCCTGTGCACTGTCATGGAATCTCTCTCCATGTATTTAGCATGTCTTTGATTTCTTTTGTCAGAATTTTGTAGTTTTCTTTGTATAGATCTTGCACAGGTTTTTTTTTTTTTTTTTGGTTTTTTTCCGGTACCGGGAACCGAACTCACGACCTTGCGCTTGCCAGGCAGGCGCTTTTGCCGCTGAGCTAAATCCCCAGCCCCTCTTTTTTTTTTTTTTTTTTTGGTTTTGGTTTTTCTCC